CCTGCCCTGCCGGCCCCGCCCTGGCCTCCTGCCCTGCCGGCCCCGCCCTGGCACCCTGGTTTACCTCTATCCCCAGGGCCTCTTCCACTACACGGGCCTGGCCCACCATCCCTCCCCCTGATCCACCTCCGTTCCGCCTCCCTCCGGGATTGCTCGTGGAGCGTCTGGAATCCGCTCCTTAAGGGGGGGGTTCTGTCACAGTCTTCAGCCGGTGTGCCCAGGAGGGCCACCAGATGACTGTGTTCTGGGAGCACATGGCTTGTGTTGTGTTTGTCTGTTGCCATGTGCTCTCTCCTGTCTATTGTCTGGCCCCTCCCATCTTGTTACCTCGTTATTGTTTTAGTTGCTCCACCTGTGTCTCCCTCGTTTGGTTCCTATTTATTCTCCTTGTGTCTGCCGTCCTGTGCTGATCCGTCATTTCTCATTGTGTGTGTTTCGTGTCTGCATGTGTGCAGCTTTAGCTCTGCCTGTCTGTTTTTCCCCCTCGGGGTGGTTTGAGTTTGTTTTTGTTTCATTTTTTATGACTAAAATAAAGTGCCCTTTCTCCAGCGATTGAGTCCTCGCTTCATCTCCCCGCACGCACCGTGACAACCTGTCCCAACTTTTTTGGAATGTGTAGCTCTCATGAAATCCAAAATGAGCCAATATTTGGCATGACATTTCAAAATGTCTCACTTTCAACATTTGATATGTTATCTATATTCTATTGTGAATAAAATATAAGTTTATGAGATTTGTAAATTATTCCATTCCTTTTTTACTCACAATTTGTACAGTGTCCCAACTTTTTTGGAATTGGGTTTGTATATATATATATATATGCTACTCGTCTGTCTGTTTGTACTACATCACTCTCTTTAGTACAATTTTAGTTTGGTCTTGTGGCTACCTTGAAGTAATGTTACACAGTACATTTTTCTCAGTTTGATGAACATCTGCTTTGACAGAGCAAAGGTGACATAGGTATTTTCGTTCATCATGTGCTCTGTCTTCCTTGGAATCCATTAGATTGAGAGATAATTTGATTTCAGTTCATACCATCAATCATATCGAGAAACGCTTGGATGAAATATGAATATCTACCCCCAACCCCCCCATTTAAATAAGATAAAAGTGATATTAGAGGTTAATATGCGCAGATCCTGAAATTGCTGCAGAAAGTCAAAAGACGTAACATCTCCCCTACTGTGAAATAGAAAGCATTCATTATATAAACATAAAGCCATAAGATTAATGGCATCATTTGATGGATGAAGTTTAAGCATAATTCTTACTTTTGAACATGCTGAATATGTGTCCATCGAGGCATGTAGGCCTTCTAATGTGTTGCAAAGGATCTTGGGATACGAGATGTGAAACATTTAAAAGAGTTTTTTTTTTTTCTCCATGAACTGCAGAAATTCATAAATGCTTCAACAAAATGAGCGGATTAGTGACATGGGCTTCATAAGCGACATGCCCCCTGCGTATCATTTATTCACATTGAACTTCACCAGAAAACATGAATCTCATTAATCAAGCAAGAAATAGTCACTGCACATTGATCCCTTTTTCATCCATTATGCAAAAGATCTCATATTGTTTTTTTTGTTGTTGTAGTTGATGCTCCGAGAGAGTATATGCAAACATAAGCAGTACAGGTTCTGCCTGTGGTCATATCGGTTTATGACCACAGGCAGAACCTGCACTGCTTGTGTTTGCATATACTCTATTGATTTCCACAGTTAATCTACTATATAAAATTAATGTAAGATACATAATGTCCTTGCTGTCATTTATACATAGAAAAACAATGAATAGTAATCAGTAGATTTTTTTTTCCTAGCTTTAATTAATTCTTACTCATTTTTTTTCCAGTGAGAAATTAAAGGGTGAAACATCTGCAATATGCAACAGTCTAACTAAAATTATTATCATCAAAGTGAGGTTTCTCATACATTTTAGCGCTAATGTTATCAAGCCTCTATTTAACTTCCTGTGCTTTTAGGTTTGTCTCAGTAGTCCATCTCTCTTTAATTAATTAACCAAAATTAGTCTTTTCTTTGCGCTAGTCTTCTCTGAAACCCATTAGACTACAATTTTCATGAAATGAATGTGTTACTTGGAGCACCTTTAATGTGCAGGTCAAGGTTTATTCTTATAGAATGCATTGTAATTTAATGTTCAGTGATGAAGAGGTGATCCTAAAAAAAAAGCATTTTTCAATATAGAATTAAAAAGTAAATTATTTAAAGCAGGGTTTAAATATGAAATTTGTTATGTAACTTCTTCAATCTGTTTTACAAGGGACCTTTTTTTAGATTTGAAGAGTGTGTTATGAGGACTATTTTGGAATACACAGTCTATCTATCTATCTATCTATCTATCTATCTATCTATCTATCTATCTATCTATCGTTCTATCTATCGTTCTATCTATCTATCTATCTATCTATCTATCTATCTATCTATCTATCTATCTATC